TGTGTTGACATATCAACTGTCTTTACATGCTTGAAAGAATAAATCAAATCAAATCAAATCAAATCAATACATACAACTTGGACTGAGCAAAGACAGCTGAGGAGACCAGGATGACCAGGGGAGCAGACAGGCTAATGCCAGAAACCAGGAGAGTGGGAGGAACAGGGCAGACAGGTGAATGGACATGCTAACCAAGAAGACAGGCGAACAAAAGGGATATCCACAGCACAGGAACTGTCAGCTTGGATAAAAAAAAGGTAACGTCTGGCTAACCTCATGGACAAAAAACAAAAAAAGAGGCCCACAGCACAGGAACTGTCAGCGTGGACAGTATAACACAAAACATATAACCTACGTATAAAATGAGATCCACAGCACAGGAACTGTCAACGTGGAAAACAAAATATGTCTTATACACACCACGAATAAAGGGCTGTTACGGGGTATGCACGCTAATGCTCTGGCGACAGCGGCGCGTCCGCCAGAGGTGTAAATAAGATAGGAGGGTGATTACAGTAATGCACCCCAACTGTACGCGATAACCCACAAGTCACTAATTACAAAATGCGACACAGCTGAGGCGCTGATCCTGCAAGAAGAGCGAGCAGGAGAGAGAAAGGCAGAAGAGAGGCAGGTCGCGCCGAGCGGACCTGACGCTCGGTCTTCCCTGTGGGGTCTTTACCATATAAATCTCGAAATTTTTGGGTGATAACTTGGTTTAAGGTTAGGTAAGTAATGATTATAGTTAAGGTTAGGGTATGTCTCCAGGAAACTAATGTAAGTCAGTGTAAGGTCCCCAGAAGGAATGAATACAAATTGTGTGTGTGTGTTTCATGGACTACTGCAGCAGGATTGATCAGTGGGACCAATTTATTTCCATTTTCTCATAGCTTGTCCCATTCAGGAAAACTGAACAAGATGGATGCATTTAAGGCTGAAGTTTAAGGCAGTGGTTCTTGTGGTCAGTATTGATTAGACAAAGTTGATTGGAAAGAATGGTTGCTGGGGAATTCTCTTGGGTTCAGAGGAAGGACCTGCTTAGACATATTTGACTAGTTCCATTCAAAGAAATGGACCACATGTTGAGGGATAAACTGTATACTACAGCCAGGTATGTTTTGTCCCTGCCAGGGTCATAGATCAAGTGGAGTGCATTTCACCCTGCTCAAAGGTTTCACATGTCAAAAATGAACTCTGTTGTCTATAAGCTACCACCAGCCCACCAGGTGGAGTTTTCTAAAAGCCTTCCCTGTGTGTTTTCCCTTATTAAAAAGCAAAAAGTTTCGAATCAGATATTCTATAACTAACAATGAATTTCACTTTCATGTCAAACTCCTTTCTCATCTTTGTTGCTCAAACATTGTTTTTCTTCATAATGAAATTCTGTCTTCCTTATAAAATCTTCTCAGATAATTGTGTACTCTTTTTTTGTGCTGTTGAGAAACATTAAGTTGTTAAGATGTTAAAAGATAATGAAAGTTAAGTTAATGAAATATTTCTGCTATGAACAAATTGTTTGCTACCACACACATACGTTTGGTGAAGCTGAAACTTTAAATTGTGTTATGACTAGGCATGGCAGGTGGACCCAGTGTACCAACACACACACCAGGAATGGAGCACAAAAAAGAGTTGGAGAGGTGAGGTGACTGCCGGACTGGAGGTGGAGGTGGCTGGGAGATGGCAGCATCAGAGATTGAGTTGGTGAGATCCCTTACAGGTAATTAGAGGTACAGGTGCTCACAGGGAGATGAAGAGGTGAGTAATCACACAGGTAGTAGGAGCTCAGACACTTACAGGGAGACAAGGAGGACGTAGGTAAGTTGGTACACAGGTAAGCTGGGGCACAGGTGCTTACAGGGAAACGAAGGGTTGAGTCGTCACACAGGCAGCTGAAGCTTACAATGTGTTGGACTAAACCAGTCCTGCGTGTCCTTTTATGAAGAATGCTCAAAGACAAATCTGTCTGTTGAGATATTTATTACAATCAATATTTAAGAAAAAATATTCCAAAAAAAGCAATACAGAGCTCTGGATTCCGTCTCTATCTGAAGCCCTATCACACAGAAGTATAGTGCATAGCTGCTGCAACAAGCCGGAACCCCCAGTTTCCTCTGCATAGAGAATTTATAACACAGTCAGGATGGTAGATCTGACATCATCCGTGCTGTCCTTCATCCTCGTGTGGTTTCCTGTCTACTCTTACAGCCTTACACATGTCTCCTATATTCTTAAAGACAAGTGAACTGGTTAAAGCAAAAGTAAATCATAAAGCATATGATACTAAAGTAAACTTGTAGATATATTTGCTAATGCAGATTATAATGTCAATCCTAGAATTTCATATAATGTTGATAATTTGAAGCCAAGACAATCAGACCTTACACCCACACACAATTCTCGTGCAGACAGTTTAGTCATCACAGTATGTATCTGCACGACTTCCTGTTGTTGAGTCTCTCTGCATCTCCTTACAGCATTTCATGTCCACAGGTCAAATCTTTACAAAGGTCACACAGATTAAACAATTATTTGAACAGTTTTGCAAATACATAACATAGCACTATATCATTTTATCAAGAATTTCTTTTTACAAATGCTGACACTCAGAGAAACAAAGAGGTGAGTTCACACAGGTAACAGAGACACTCACACTCTGTGCTGTCACTCATAATAAGGGATTGAGTTTTTTCTATGGTGTCTTATTTGGGTTTCCGTAGTTGGCTTGTAAACGGGAAGTTCTAGAAGTTAGTTCAACTGCAAGCAGACGATTTCTTTCTGATCTTTTAACAGTCCCTAAAGAACATATGTCTGCAAGTATAAAAGTTAAACCACATGTACTACATATGGTTGTGTTAACATGGTTAGATGTTTCTTTAGTCTACAATGAACATAAAACGTTACGATGCTAATCGCGGTAGCATGTCTATGGGATTTTCAGTACAAGTCAGCATGGAGCTAACGTCACGTTATTGTGTTGTTAACTATGTTAAACGCACTGTTATATATTTTGAATACTAATCAACTCAATTTGTGTGTATTTTGTGCTGCAGTTTCACAGTGTTTTCTTAAATAAAAGTCCTAAATCGAAGAAGATTGACCAGCTTTTTGCTGAAGGGACCTGTTAGCTATCTGGCAAGCTAAAAGCAGTTACCCAAGTTAGCGAGGCCAGAATACACTCACGGAAATGTAGAGGTGAGTTCTTGCCATGAGACGATGATCAGAGAGCAGGAAGCCATGGTCCATTTTGTGGAGAACATACAATGATCCTACGGGCAGAGAGCACAGTTTCTTTCTGATCTTTAATGAACCAGTGGGGAGCAAATGGAAAAGGGGCATATATACTGTATAGAGAATGAGTCTGGGAGGTAATGAGCAAGAGGTGGATGGAATGATGGCTGATTACACTGGCTGGGCTGACATTGCAAGGGAGATGGGGAATCAGGGGAAAAACAAAGAAAAACAAGAAGCATAAGTCCGTGGGTCATGACAAATTGTTTGTAGGTGTGAATATTTCTGTTCATATGTGTGGTAGCCTTGTCATTGCAATGTACCCAAGATACACTGCTTTCCTAATGAATTCTGGGATAGGCTCTAGCTTCTTGTGACTCTGAACAGGATGAGTGAATATAGATAACCAGTGTCT